ATTTAATTAAACAATTTGACGATGGAGAACTACCAGCTAATTTGACAGCATGATTGGAACTTAAAAATTAATTGGCTTCCGTCTTTTTTAATGATAATAAATCAATTATGGTTCCATATTCCAAGTAAAATATTTTCTAACCTGGGTGGAGTTAGTTTGCTCCTTAGATGTGACTCGTTAAACTTTCCTTCTTTCACCAGCAGGTTTTATTATATTGGAGTTTATAAACATAACTACAGCTCAGATAAAACTTGCTGTAACATAAAAGTGAATAAATCAATCTTTGCAGGTAAATGACTAGAACAAGGTGTTTGGTCTGTGATGCATTTGTTCAATAATGGAGGGATTATGTCTTATGAAAACTTCAGAATTAAATATATTTGCAGAAAGGTGAATTTTAAAAGATTATTAGAGTTATCCCTCCAAATATTTGATGCAGAGCTGAAGTTTTAATGAGAATCCTGTTGACAGAAGCTCTGCTCTGCCTGGACGTCTGATCAATGAGCAAACTATCACAGATAATAAACTAAATTACTCAAAAGTTAGATCATTTTGTGATTTTGAATTGACTGATTGTTTTCTATTGCAAAGCTTTATGGGATGATGAGCAACGACTGACTTTTCCCCAGAATTAAAAACTTACCTGAATTCTCTAAGAAAGATTTTATTTTTAGGAGAAAATAAAGGAAAATTAAAAGACTAAATATAATAATAATCATGGGCAAGTTTTTAATTTCTAAAAGTCAAACCATCTTTCTCCATTTTTCACATGAAACTCTTATCTCTAAACTTCATGAACAAAGAAGAAGATGCAGAGCGATATAATCTGATGAGACGCCCCTAATGTGTGATTTTATATTTTTATTTTTGTAGTTTTTATTTGTTGTCCTGTAAAGATGGAGGCGTCTCCTCCTGGTTTATATACATCTGATGCAGACACCCTGCCTGCTGTACATGACGGTTTATAATTAAATAAATGAGCGAGGCCTGTAGGGCGGCCATCTTGGATCAGACCACAGTTCTGCTGTCAGAATGAACAGGAAGCTCCGTAGATCTAATTTTAATCAGGAGTCAGAGATAATATTACAATAATCTGTGACGCGTCACAATCCTTTAAAAGAACTAAACTAATTCTAAAATGACCTTTTAGTTAAATTAGACACTTTTATTCAGATTAAAAACTAAACTGAACCCAAACTGGATGAGATAAATGCAAAGTTAGTAAAACGATAAACACAAAGTTTAACTGGGTTCAGAAGCGAAGCCGCACCATCTGAACCTGTTGGATGGCTTTTCTAGTTTGCATATTCTATAGCCTGCTAACCGGTGCAGTGGGTCCTCTGGAACCTTCCAGCTCCTTCTATCATGCTGATGATTTATATTCAATCTCTGCCACAGATATCATGGAATTAACCCTTTCCATCCCTCAATGGTCTCGGAGCTCATTGAACTGGGAGCACTGGAAGTGATGGACTGGGACCATAGAAGCTGGGTGCATTTAGAGCAGAGGCAGCCCCACCAGCTCCTGATGGAAAGAATGAAGCAGAGTGGAAACATTTACCGCCAGAGCTGACCTTCCTGATGCCCGGGGGCGGGGCCTCACTGACCCACGGCCAATCTAATGCCTGATATGTGGATCGACCTGTCAGTCACTTTAGAGAGCACACTGAGCAGCAGGCCGAGCTCCAACATCTAGAAACAAAGCTGCACGTCCATTTACTCCCAAAATGTAGAAATATAGCAGTCAGATCACAACTGGAAGGAAAATCCAGTTTAATCTCAGCGGAGATCATCAGCGCCGCCCTGCAGGTACAGGTTAGTTCATTCATTTCACTCCTTCTGTTTGATTCAACATCTGGTTAAATAATAAGACCTTAAAAAAAAACCACCATAAACACGTCTGTTTGATGTTTTCTAAGGACTGATGAGAGCAGCTTCCTGTTAGACGATCAGACGCTCCGCTAATCTCCGTTTATCTCCGTTTATCTCCGCTAATCTCCGTTTATCTCCGCTAATCTCCGTCTATCTCCGTCTATCTCCGTTTATCTCCGCTAATCTCCGTTTATCTCCGTTTATCTCCGTTTATCTCCGCTAATCTCCGTTTATCTCCGCTAATCTCCGTTTATCTCCGTTTATCTCCGCTAATCTCCGCTAATCTCCGTTTATCTCCGTTTATCTCCGCTAATCTCCGTCTGAAAAGGCTAAACTTTTCATTCCTGCTGCCAGATGATTCCATAAGGTTAAATAGACTATTAACTAGTCAGGTAAACTGGTTAGCAGTATGTAGTTGGTTCATGATGCCTCTGTTCTCCCTAAAGAGGGCGGAGCTTCAATCAGCTGGGTCTCTTTCAAAGTAAAAGCTTCAGTTGGTTTCAGTGACATCATCGGGTCACATGATGAGAGCAGGGCTGATGGTGCATTCAGGAGCTGCTCATCAGGTGGTAAAGAACAGCTTCAGTGTCTCAGTGCGCCTCAGCGCCGGCGGTACAGGATGTCCCAGCTGTCTCTCCACTTGAGCGCCAGCAGCTGATTGGCTGACAGCTCGGGGCAGCCGTAGGTCAGAGGACAGAGGTACCAGTAGGACAGGAAGATGGACACGAGGACGGCGGACGCACACAAACCGAGTCCACGGCGAAGCGTCCTGCTGCTGCAGACAGAAAGAGGACAGGTTCAGAGAGACGAGCCCCCATCATTTCCCCAGGAAGCAAATACACAGACTTTCAAAGTAAAAGCATGAACGGCCTGTGGCGAGGACAAGCAGGTTAAAACGGGTCTGGTTCTGATCAGAACCCCGAAGGTCCATCAGTGCAGACAGAATCTGTTCAGCAGGTGGAACCTTCGTCCTCTGGCGCTGCGCTGTGATTGGTTAGAGCCGGGCAGCAGGAGGTCAGGCTCTGCAGACTCTCCCTGACTTTTACCTGAGCAGGTGAGTGTGCACGTGCTCCAGGAGGGCGGGGCTTAGCAGGTGCAGGTAGCACAGAGCGGGCAGGTAGTGGTACAGGAAGAGAGTCCTGTCCATCAGCAGGAAGGGGAGGAAGTTCATCATCCAGCCGCCGACGCAGACGAAGCCCAAACACACAAACCGCTGCCAAACCTCTGCAGACACAGGAAGACGGGTCAGAACCAGAACCGGATCCAGCAGCAGAACCTGGAACTGGGAGGAAACGGTACCATCAGGCAGGTCTTTGAATCCCCGCCTCCTCCTTAGCATGTACACCATCGCCAGCAGCTGATAGGCCAGCAGGCTGAGATTGGCCACGCCCCACGACACTGGATTACCAATCAGATGGATCTGAGCCTGAAACACAGCGGGCCAATCAGAGCTCAGATACACAGGAAGGGGGTGGAGCTACAATTGGAGGCTGTGTTTATTGTGGAGAGTTAGAGGTTCTAAGGTGACCCATCTGTGAAGATGGGCAGTCATCCAGGTCATGGTCAACCTGGATCTCCTCCTGTGAACCCCCTTTATACCAAAACGCTGCCAATACGCCATTATACAGTAGCTGGAAGTTAGAAACACGTTC